CCGGTAAACGTCCCATGCTGCGTTCATGCAGGCTCGGAAATGCTGAAGCCTACAGAACAAACATCGGTTATAAAAACCCGATACCGATAATTCCCGATATTACATTTTTTTGTGAATATCATCCCTACTTACAATATCTATCATTTTTGACATGCTTCACTACATGGATTGTACTACCATAAAGTATATGAACATAGGAAGAGGTGAACTCAGTATTGAGAAATGTATACAACCAAATGTAAAAAAAAAACTTAATGTTCTGAGAATACAAACAGTATTTATCTCAAAATCACCAAATAAGCCTCCAATTCCAAACATACACAACCCATAAAATTGAAAAAGGTGATACATTTTTATCTTGTTTGCACAAGTTAAAGCTATAATATGTATAATTTTTCACATTAAAATGGGTAGATAGGTATAGAAGACCTATGTATACTCCAGACAAATGACCCATAGAAATCTGTTATTAAAGAGTTAAACATGTATGCCAAAAGTAGGTTTTTGCTACAAATAAGATTTGCAGAAACCTGAACGTTTGCACTGCTGCACAATAACTTTTGTGCACAAGATACATAATATCACCTTACAGGACTTTAGGGACTCTGTACAAACCAAAAACGGAGTCAGGTAATGAGAAAATGATTGACCTAGATTATTCTCCCTTCCAGGCTTATTCTACCAGGATGTAAGTTAGCGCCTCCTAGACGACAATTGTTATGATGAGGAAGTAAGGGTTCATTAAAGGTTCAGTCTTCAGAATTTAGTGGCATCTAGTGTTGTAAGTGCAGATAGCAACTCCTTTGCTTTACCATCCCCTTCCAAATGTGAAGGAGAAAGAATGGCGGCCGAGACCACGCTTCTAGTTAAGCGTGGTCTGTTAGACTCAATATAATATAAATGGGTGAGTGATATAAAAATTCACTCCCTGTACAGTTGTAAATGTGGAAATTAGCTAAAAAAATGATGCCCTATGGAGATTAACTCACTTCTGTAGCCAGCCTCAAGTGCAGTTTTTATTACTACAGCCACAGAGGTTGCTGCTTGGCTAAGATACAATTTCCTGATCATCATTTAAGAAATTAATGGAATGTGACTGGCTGCTTAAGCAGAGCAGTACAAGGATATAACATATTTTGCTGCTCATCACAGAAGGTATTTATTCAGTTTGCGATGGAGTCGAACTATTAGACTTCCTTAATCCTACTAAGACAATGAGCTTTGTTAGAAAACATCAGGCCAAGTCTGAACAGAGATTTTTGTTTTATATTAAGGTTGTTATTGAAAAAGAATCCATAGGATGGCAGTAGCAGTCCAACTGAGAGACAGACCAACTGTGAACCTCCTCCCTCCTTTTCTTCATCTGTTCTCAGTCAGCAGGGATCACTGTATGGTTTATGCAGGTCATGATTGGGAACACTTCAGCTCTAAAATATAACTTTATACTTTATTACACAGAAGTGACCCCCTACAAAGGCATATTACTAATAATTTTAATATCTTCTTTGCATGGTGCCATTTATGAGCCAATTTGCCAAATTAATTCCCTGCTCCTGTTCCTCCACTGGATTTCTAACACTGTTTACCATCAGGTCACTCAGATATAGATTTTCATTGGCGGCTCCCCTTGCAATGTTTGTCAGAGCAGCCCTGTCCAAAAGAGTTGTTTTCCACATTGGTGTAGCAACAAACCACCACACAATTTACAAGTCAAACCAAAGCCAGTTTTTGTCAGTTACTATTTGAACGGATCAGTTTATAAAATCTATATTGTTCCCAGTGTACACTGGTATCTGTTTATTAACCAAAATGTGAATCAAAGCTGAACACAGATTCATAACATTTCCTATTTACTTCACATTATGCTATCATATTCCCTCAGATATATTTACACACACATTTTAAAATTGTGATACTCGCCCAGGGACCTCGGGTCAGCCAAGGTTGAGACCCACATGACCAAAAGCCCCTGCCGACATCCCCTTCAACTGCCTAACTGTTTTATCCTTGATGGGTTCATGAGCATTCCTGTAATAGTCAGTAGCTAGTATTCTGTGTATGCCAGCCAGAATGTGGAATGTTTTTGATTAATTGTTTTGCCCTGAAGTAAGACTAACCAGCCAAATCAATATCACAACAGACCTTTTTCACAGCAGCCATTTTTGACATGCAATAGTAGGGTAAACATAGTTGTTACCAATAATTAGAATCATTAATAAAAGCTTTATTTACCCTATTATTTTATGTCAAATCTCTACACATTTCTGTTCAGCTCTGTAATGTAAAAATAAAATTGAACATTTGGATGAATCTATTGTTTCTCTTTTTGCAATGTGTAAAGGCCTTTGTGGGAAGCAAGTGGGTTTCAATCTACTAAATCCTATACTCTGGACCTCGAAAAAAACATCTCATTAAGCCAGCGTGTATGACTGCTTTTTAAATATACTTTAAAGGGGATTTTGATTTTGATTTTTGAAGTGGTTGTCATTTCAATCATTTCAAGCCCATGGCAAATGCTTTTGCCTTTGTTGTGATCTAGCAGTATAGATGACCTAAAATCAAAGGAAAACTGAAACTGAATGACAACCACTAATCATTTAAAACAGAATCTTTTCATTTAATGCACCAGCAGTCCATAATTCAAAAGAGTTTTTGCAACATTAGCAGTTTAAAAAAAACACTATGAAATTGTAAATTGTTAATATTACTCTTTTGAAAACCATAAATCACTGAATTCAATTCTGAGGCCTTAAACACTGATAGATAATGTGATGGGAGTGATTTTTTAGTGTAATCTGAAAAGGATAAATTTGTCTTGTGGGAAATATGAGGTAACTCATAATGCTGAACAAGAGTCTCAAAACACAGAAACAAAACATTTGAAATCAGAAAAATGTATTGATCAGAATTTTCAAAATTACACTTCCACGTAGTTTACATTGAAAACATATATGTACTAAAATGTGCTTTTAGATACATACTTAAATCAACCTCTACATTCCTGACATTCTTTTTTGTCATTTCCAGTGCATTCTTTATGAGTCATTTAACAGTTTGCATTATGAAGGCAACAGGTGTATACTGCAGTCTATTTGATACAGATATCACATACACTTATGATGGCAATCAGTTACAAATTACATAGAAAACATGAACAATGTTACATTAAAACAAAGTTCGACCCATAATAGATTATGTACCCAGATACATGCATTATAATCTTTATGACATGGCCTTTACAGACTAAGTATTACATAGTAGTAATGGTGCTTAATAAATGTAATGATAGGACCATAATGTATATGTTTTGACTGAAAAATGTATGGCTACTTCAAAAAACAACAACAACAACAAAAAACATTAAAATAATTACTTGAGGTTATTTTCATCCAAGGAAATTAGGACCTTTCTGCCTGTCTGTTAACATACTAGTGAAAAGTATCCTGTCATATACGATCTCCCTATGGCATTTCTGTTACAATGATACCTAGAGCGAGAACAATAATGAGAAAATGCAGACAAGCTGAACGGTAATGGAAAAAAGACTGTTGAAAGAACTAATGTCCAGTTGTCAATAAGTAAAAGAAGCTGAAACAAAATCAATGAAATCCATAATGCTCAGTTATTTTGAGGCACATTCACTGTGCACAATAAACAAACTAAAGCCTACCTCAGGTCCTTTAGGTATGATGCCTGCAAGATTTCAAGTACGTTTTTAACAGTGTTGGTCCCACTATTTTATCTACTGCAAATATAATTGTACATTTTATTTTATTTCATTGCAGTTCTGAAATGTTTTACTGGTACTACTATGTAAAGCTTTGCAACTTTGTTTTAAAATGTGCTGTGTATTGTCATAATTAAAGTTACTAGATGAAGACCATGATCAAATAACAGGCATTATTGAAATTCAAATTAGCAGTAAGAAGACCTGACGTGACAAGAGGGATAACACTTTAGGAAAGGTTAGTGGATGTAGCTGAGGTTTAGGAAACTAAGGAGGCATGGTTTATGTAGTGTATACAAATGTGACCTGTCTGGAGGAGCACACTCAGGTGAATAGGTACCTGCACGAGTTGAAAAAGTCTCAACCTTAACAGAAGCTTTGTGCTTATGATGAGGCTTTTTTACTTCAATTCATGAGTATATTGAAACAAGCAGAAAAGCCTCTAAAAAGGTCTATAAAAACACAATAGTTAGCTGTAGCATGCTAGTATACTGCTAGCTAGTACAGTGATAATTACAGCTAACATATTCACAATAATTAAATGGTAAACGGACTGCATTTAAATTGCGCTTTTCTACCTGAATGCACAAAACACTGTTATACTCAGTTTCACCTCTCATTCATAGTCTACCCATCTTACTCAAAGACACATAATGGACTACCCATTGTGGCCAAATTTGCTGTTGGTGAATAAAGACGGGTAAAGTCCGTCAAGCAATCAAGCATTCAATATCTGCTGTAATACGCTAATAATGTGTGAAAATTTGTCTTCAGTCTGAACGCATAAGGGCATTGAGCGGTCTGGACCCCTGGCTACCAAATTTACATTGGATTTACATTTACAATTGGATATCCAAGACACCTTTTTAGTTGGGTTCACTGTTCCTGAGTATAAGCACTTGGCCCTGAAACACTGGGCCAGACTAAACAAAACTCTAAAAAGTGTGCTTTAAAATCTCAAAATGACAGTAATGGCTAAACGCACAACAGTGTTCATAGGGCATTATAAGGGAATATTACGTTACGTCAGTATTAACTTACAGCTAAACCTCACCATTTTTACTTTGTATAGATGTTATAAAGCATTTGTAAGCATATATTGCTAGCTATGTATTCATGCATTATATAATAGATTTTCTGCATTTGATATTCCTATGCATCAAAAATGTTTGACCTCCTGCTAAATAATGCTATTATCCTGTTCATGGTGGTTGTGACTTTCTGTTGATGGTTTGGTGTTTGCTGTGGGACACACCACAAAGCACAGACATATTATTATTACAATGTATTGAATTCACGCTGAATTTAAGGAATTTCAGAAAACTCTGAAAATCAATTAGAACATTTTTGAAATTTGC